TCCGATGCAGAGTAGTGGAGTCACCAAGTTATCTCAATGGCTTCGCAGTTCAGGGGCGGGACAGGTCAGATAAATAATTCGAGCACCGCAATATCAGCAATTTCTGAAAACAGCATTATGATGCCTGATGGATTGAATGTGGCCACGGATAAAGGCTCGTCTTGGCATTCGTCGATCTCGCTCAAACTCAAAGATGCAGCTGGTATTGCCAGATAGACTTTCCTTCGCAACAATGACAGCCTATCACACACAATGTTGGTCACGAAGTGCCGACTGTCGATCACGACACTAACCAAAACTTTGAGGCGCAAGGGCATGGCAGAGGTCTTTCACAAATCTCTTTACGAAGTATCAAGAAACTCCACCTCCTTCACAAACGGAATAAGTACATCGTTTGCGGATTCCTTTGAATCCCACTCGCTTCGGAACTAGTGGATTCGCCCTCGATTACACGCCGAGCATTCCGGAACGAGATCCGTCTCCGATTCCACCAGCTCCTTAACATCGCTCCCGTAAAGGTCCCTAAGGCTACCATAATCGTTCTGAGACTTGTTGACCCAGTGGGGTGTTGTTGCTGTTCTGCTTAGCCAAATTACACCTGCAACGATAAAGAATTCGTACCGTCTGATCATGCTCTCCCATACAATCGGGGCGGATGGTTTGCATTCACCACAGACTTCATCGCCGCGGTATTCAAAATGTGTAACGCAAGGTGGGCATCGTCGTTGGGTCCTCGTGTAAACTGGGCACCACCGCGACACAATCCACCGGACGTGACCGCAGTGGAATTCGCGCTGAGTGTAGTTGCACATCCCCGTCGTGTTCAGCTGAATTGGAATTGATGGCCGCCAAATTGCTGTGAAGGGAGTGTGTGATGCACACCTGTAATATACTGCGCGCGGGGGTGAGATTACCCGCGTGTACGCTCGATTGCCCGCAGATTCATCTTCCCAATGATTGGCTCTCAAGTGGTCTCGAGTTCTGGGCCGTCGCATGGAGCTGGGGAGTTGACCGATGGAGCTGACAGACGATCGCTTCCGAAGAATGCGAACATGCATGCCTCCCACTGTAGAGGATCACATCCTCGAGCGGTTTTAGCTCGCTATGCGGTGGCCAACAGGAGAGACAAGCATTGCTGTAGGGCTTCGGGCCGTCTACACCCAAGAGACTGCATAGGCGTGTGTCCTAGCTAATTGTGGAGCAAAGGGCCCTGTCACCACGCAGTGAAGTCGACAAATCTCGGCCAGAAGAGAAAACGGGGGGAAAGGGCTATTACGAGTGACATCACCCGCTGGGTGGCCATTCTTTACGACGGCAGAACAACAAACGATTGCCTCAAGCTACAGCTGCTGTTTGGTACAGCGCACTCTACCTGTACGGTGACCTCGGAGCGAGGCCAACTGGATTCCCTCAAGCCCACGTCAATCTGCACGGCCGCCATTGGCCTTCATCACATGGTAAGACCAGAGAGAAGACAACACGAGAATGCGGATCACATCATCCGCAAGTCAGAGGCGGGGCGGCGGACTTGTTCTCTCGTCAGTCGCCCGGCCGTAAGGATTACCTCACTGGGCTCACCACTGTAGCCACTTCGCAACATGGGGTGACGCCAGACGGGCACCACCTTTGCATGGCTAGATCGACCGTATCTCTTTTGCCCCTTTCCGAGAAGTCGCTGCAGCATGTCTCGCGCCCAGGGCATTCCCACACCGGGTTTGATTGGGAGCGGAGCCTAGCAGGAAGGAAAGTCTGGTTGAAATGCACTGTTCCATGTCATAACAAACGTTGACTTCTCTATGACGGACCTTGGGGCGTATGGTCCAGAACGCTCCGGAAGCCCCGGTCTTTCCGTCATCCCTTTCTCGCAATCTGAGCTACAGTGTTGCAATCACTCTGATGAACGAGGAAGGTGCTCCTTGACTCCGGGACCCCCCCCCCCCCTCTGAGCCGCTGCTCTATCGCACCAGACCGCACCAGACAACCTTGTCCCTCAAGGGGGCTGGCCATTACTCTGATGAAAGTCCCCTCAGCCTATTCCAGATAAGAGGAAAGTAGCATGCGCGCCAGCTAAGGGACGTTGGCGTAGGGGTCTTTCCCAGCCTTTAAATATTGCCAGCGGGGCTAGGCGTGTACCGTTCGAATGTGCGAAGGCCAAGATCGCCACAAGCCCCTGGGTGTAGAGCGTCCATCGGCGGGCCCTCCGAGAAGCGTTTCGGAAAGGGCTCGGCATGGCGGGACCTTATCCACCATCACTCTAGTACACATTCTCATCTTGCTTTTGGCATGGTACACATATCTGTAGGTGGGGTTTCCGGCCCATGAACTGCCAGTTGTCCGAAGTAGTCGCGGTGCACAGTATGTAGTGTCTAGTATCAGATGTATGGGGTAGTCATCTGATGGACACGCCCAAGCCAATTAGCCGGTTACGCTAGCTATTTCGAGCAATCTTGGGAAGGTCTGGTGTGTCCATACTAATTGTGCCCAAGGCCATAGCCCAGGAACAGTTTCAGTGGTGTGCAATTAGCGGAAGTCCCTCAGAAAGCCCGTGCGAGAGTGTGCAAGCTACAGCTGGCCCTCCCTTTGGTTCCATGTGCGTTCGAGACCTGGCGCCAGAAAATTTGTGGATACACTGATATCTACAGGGATAGTCTGATGATCCACTCGACCAAGCCTTTTTCACTACTCTCGGAGGGGGTTTATGACCTCAACTTGAAGGGGACGAGCGCGCAGCTCGCCCGTCTGTTTTCAGACTCAATCCATGATGAGCACAGAAGCAATCGTTCCTGTCAGCGACATGCTGGCAGTCTGCGCTCACGACCATTGCCAGGAGACAGTCGGAGTGCATCTGGAGGTGGGAGGAGCTGACGCAGGGGCGCAGGTAACAAAGATGCTACGATCCTGTATCGCTCAGATTACCCAGAATCTATCGTCTTTATTCAGACTATATTCTCGTACTTGTGCCTCTCACAAGGTTCAGTCTTGGGTTTCTTCGACAATGAACTTCATAGAGTGACTATCTTGCGAAAATTGATACGAGGACTCGACGGGTGAATACTTGCGGCATCCTTTTGTTTCTCACCTCCCCAGCCTGAAAAATAGATATCCCGAAATTAAACATCTTGCACGTCGAACTTGAAAATCCTGGACTAAACCCTCACGAGCCGAGTCGTGATGGCTTTAGTATCCTACCCTTGGAATCTTTCCTCAAACTACTTGGAGTACGTCCAGCACGCCGTGTTGTAATGTGGTCTGCATTGTGATCTGCGTAGCAAGATTAAAGAGTGATCAAGTCTGTTCCGTTCCTGTATCTTACATTTGTCACAGCACTGATGTACGCTAATTTGTGTCATTGCATTTCGTAGGTGTGACCCTTCGAGAGTTCTCGTTCGCCGTCTCGTCTTTTTGGCCTTGGGGTCAGCCTTTAGCCTGGCAAGGAACCGCCTCAATCGTTTTCGACCCATGCCTTTACCGAATTCGGACCTGGGTATTACGATGTTCTCATCGAGCTCGATGACCACTTTCCCCGTGAATATTTTGATGTAGACGAATGAACGGTTAGATTCCTCCTGTTTGATTTCTGGATATGTTTTGCGTAATTGAGAGATTTCGACATGGTTCAATGCTCTGTATTCTTCCCACTCGGACATGGTGACATTGAAACTGATCACTCGATGCATCGCGAACCATGCGAACCATCAGGTCTGCCGAGGTCGCCTCGTTTTTTATACTTCATGCAATCGCCATCCCTCAAAGTAAGCGACCATACCAGTGGCTTTGCCAACGAGGCTTAGGATTGGTGGAAGCGTCATGGGATTCATCTCGAACTAGGGTTTTCGATGGTCTGAGCAACCCTTACCTTACTTGTGATTGTGCCCCGGCCCCTCATGAGGGGCCGGCCTCGGGATGCATCCCCTTTGGATTGCTGTAACGATCGTCTCACTCTGAGTCGCGATCTGTAGTCTGGCCGCTGCTCTGCGTTCAGCGGGATTAGAATCAATGCCTGGTAGATTGCTGTGAAGGGAGCGTGTGATGTACACGTGTAGTATAACGTACGCGAGGGTGGGGTTACCCTCGGGCACGTTCGATCGTCCGCAGGTTCATCTTTCCAATGATTGGCTTTCAGCTTGTATCGTGGTCTGGGGTTTTGTAAGGAGCTGAAGTATCGTACGGCCAAAAGTGACGGACGATCGCGCCCTTATGATACGAACGTACATGCCTCCTGCGGGAATAGATCGACTCCGCTGAATGACGTTAGCTCGGCATGCTACAGCCCAGATGTAGATAGACGACGGTGCTATGAAGAGCTTCCTCTATCCAAGCTCTTGACAAGGCCGTAAAGCCTCCCCCGGGGATGACTGTCTAGTACCTTTCATACAGGGAGTGACGCCGAAAGCGCATCGTCACCTTTGCATTGCCGGATCAACCGCACAACTGTTGGCCCCTTTCTGGTAAGTCACTCCAGTGTACCTCACGTCCGCTGGACTCCGCCGCCGAGCTTGATCTTGGCGCATTACCACGGGCACTACAAGGTTAGTCGATTGACGGTATTCCATGTAGTATGGACGTGTGCGTTCGGGCCTAGCCATGATGGGCTCGTGAAGTCGGAGTCGGGGGTCGTAAGATGTACTGGACGATTGGAATGCTCCTCTCAGTTGCTGTCCCTTTGTCGCAATTCAACCAGCCATCTTGCGAAAGACCGATCGAGTTGGCCACTCGCCAGTGTTCTATGCCGCGAATGCGGGTTCATGCTTGTGCTCTGCAATAGATGTGGGTATTGTCTTTAACAGTTTGCGGAGCGAGAGGAGTTCGGACAACGCGCTGACACAACAACCTCGCCGAGAGCACGCCCGGAATGCATAACTTAAGTTTCTGGCCCGTAGATCTGCCAGTGACAGCCAAGAGGTCTTTCGCCCTGAAAATTGAACGACTCTATCTAGGTCCTGAAAGGTAGAGGCAGGTTCTGGGCGCACTGGTGAGCCTTGGTAAGAGTACCTGCAAGCCGAGAGTCTCATGTCTTCCAAATCTCGGTTGGACTTGCGTGCTCCGTACACACTATGGTGTAAATGTGTTGAAGGGGAGGGAAGACTCAGCTGCAGCCGATGCACGCCGTTGCATGACGCTTTACTCTTTTCGCTGAACTCGGTTGCAAGTTCGACAAACACGGTAAGCCTTATGCAAGAGTATGCCTTCTAAGACACCAGGGTTAAGAACTCGGAGCGCCGGAACTATCGCACACCTAGGTGGCAGGAGGGGTACAGAAAATGGAGAACTCCGGCTAGCCTGCTCGGATTTGCATGAGGGGCAGATGGGCTGGGATGAGAGTGGGTAGACCGATAGCTCAGGCAGATGCATGTCAACACGCCCTGCGGCAACGCTTTACTCTTTTGGTCGAATTTGTGAACGTTTGCAAGTTCGACGAGAACGGTAAGCGTGATGCAAGGGCATGCATACTGTAGCGTCAAGGTCCTCGACCCTGCGCGTGAGAATAGGAGATGGGGACGCTAGGTGGGCAAAAAGTAAGCGCTAGCCTGTTTTACTGGACTTGTAAGTTTGTACGACTTCGGCGAAACGATAAACGTAGTGCAGGGGCGTGCATGCTGCGATTCTGACCGTCCAGGTATTTACGTAGTACTGCCCCATCAAAGACCCGCTATACTAACGGACGATCTAGCTCACTCGGTCGAACTTGTGAACGTTTACAAGTTCGCCTAAATGGGTAAGCGTCAAGTCAGCTGTTACCGCTAAGCTCGCTCCTGAAGCAGGCGCCCACATTGCTTCGTCTTCCGTCACCTCTCTTTCCACACAATTGGATCGCACTCTAACAGACAAGTGGTGCAAGACCAGCTTCGACGTGGTATGCTACCATTACTGCGAAGTTGAGCCTGCTGACCATTGACAGCTCGCCATGCCGACGCCCTCGTTCGAGAGACAGCGTCCGGTAACCTTTTCGTGCTTCATGTGGGCGGACGATGCGGGTCTGTTCTCGACTCCGGGCTCCGACAATCTCAACCCGACCCTCCCTGAAAGTGTCACCGAATTGGGTGCACCCGATGCCTTTTCCATCTTGAGACAACACAGCCAAAAATGGCAAGGGTCTCCCAGGAAATTCTTTGAAGATGCGTCAGCTTGCGAAAGCCAGTTCAACCGCGGCGGCACGCTGGGTGTAATGCTTCGGAGGATCGCGTTCAGGATCAGAGTCGGCGAGTTCTTTCGTTGCCGATGTACATGGAGACACCGGGAATTGAGCACCTTTTCAGCTCATTTGACACGTCTCAATCCGACGATGTCCTCGGGTCACCTCGACAAGTCGCTGAGGAGGTGGCTGCGCGCTGGGGGCACTACGGACATGATTCTTCAAACATGTGCCGCAGGTACCATCGTAGCGAGCTGCATGGCAATTCCAGATTCCAGGTCAGCTCTCTCACTCTTCAAAGGTGAAGGCTGCTCATTGACTATCGGCAGATATGAATTTGCCCCTCGGGAGGCAGAGAATGCCAAGCGGGAGCAGTTCCTCAAAAATCTCCATGCGCCAGAAATCAAACAACATGCGAATGAATTTGCAGCCCTTGAAAACGCGTTGAGAGATCACATCTTTGACGGCTATAGTTGTCTGAGGGTCGACTCGCGTCCTGTCGAGCCATACCAAGTCCTGGTTTTCGACAGCTTGGCTGAAGATTCCCCGCTCCAGAACGCAAGTGAAAATAGTTCCGTAGACGGGCAGCCGACCTCAACAGACCAACAGCCACTGACTTGTGCGATGATGCAATTAAATGAGCATGTCGGAGTGCGAATACCACAACAATCGCCATTCCAACAGTCGCAACAGGCCCTTTCATCGTTCGTTCACGGACCCACGACTGTTCATGTATACGGCGAAACCATAGCCGAAACTCCTTCGCATCCGGCATTCGAGGTGCAGCCTTGGCCCTCGACTAACACGATACCGGCGGCTCCAGAAACGATCGGTCCTTTGCTTCAACAAAACCTCGCCACACATGCCGTGACGAGCACTCCGCTTCCTGCACACGATATCTGTCTGGCGGGTGACCAGCACTGCTCGACGGGCTCCTTGCCTACAAATCAGGACAGGATGCAGATTCATCTGGCGGAACAGATCACCGCGAGTCCTCACATGGCTGGATATGAACAGTACCAGTCTCAGGCGTCGCTGTCGACATTTGGCAGACCTGCTCACGGTCCCTCCCACCTCAGGATGGATGTTCACCGGCAGTCTGTTGCAGAGGTCCCGTGGGAATGCGTTGAGAATCAAAATCTTCAAGACAGCTATCGTCCACATGCCATGAATCCAAATACGGCCATGGCGAACCTAAGCTGGCTCCGTCCGCAGCCCCAGGGCCCAGGATTCGGCACCGGCAGCGCACTGTCTAACGTGAACGAAAGTGCCATGATGAACTGCACAGTGGCATTCGCGGAATCCGAGACATATTACCTGCACAGGCAACCAGGAGGAAACAGCCAGGAAGTTGATGTTGCCTCAACGATGTGTACAACGAATATGGCATCTTTGGGAGATATAAGACAGCGCATACAATATTAGCAAGGCCTAAGTACTACGAAGATGAAGAGGATCGGCTTTTCGACCGGCGTCAAAGAAACCTGTGGTTCTAGCAAGTAATATACGCCAGTGTCCCATTCCAGGT